GTTTTCTAAACTAAAACCAGGCTTTGTTGGGCTGCTGGATAAAACCTGGAACTAAACGCTATTTCTGACATTTTGAATTGAAAAATCTTCCTGGATGGAAAAAAAACGTCTTCAAACTTGGAAACAAAGTCCAGTGGATTGATTTTTATTCCCTTTTTTTGGAATCGCTCTGACCTGGATGACTGAGAATCTTCACCAGCAAAACCTAGATATTAGATAAAGTTAGATATTAAATGTTGGTAACCGGATGAATGACTCACCAGATGAAAGATATCTACAGATCCCTGTGGTTCTTGCACAAAAGTGTAATCAATGGAGATGTCCACTTCTTTATCACATGGAAGGGCGGAGTCAACGCTCTTTATCTTCAAGACGCTGCTTGATTTGGTGTCAGCAGAAGCAGGTAGGGACTGAAGAAAGGTGTGTTCTTGCCAGGGAATGTTAGCTGTTCTATACTCTGGGTACTGCAGTTCTGGTGAGGCGTTTATCTGATTATAGAACAAAGTAATATAGAAAGAGACGATGGTCATTAAAATGCAAACAGATCATATTTTATTCACATTTTTTGACACTTCACCCTTTATAGGACACTCAGAGAAATACTTTGAAAATCTAAATTTCATGCCAATAGTGTTTTTGGAATCCAGGACAGGAACGTATTACCTTTGTAAAATAAAAAAAATAAGGATATCTTGATGGCAAAAATTAAGGTCAATGTAATAACAAGAAATGAAAAAATAGAAAGAAACAATTTTTTTTTTTGTTACTGCATAACCTCATCATTAAAACAGGATTGTTACAGATGTAATTAACTTACAGTCAGCCTAGTATCTCCATCAAAAGCGTCTGTGCTGACAGAGAATGTGGCGAAACCGTTGCTGTCAGTCGTGAGGTTCTGCAGTAATCTTGCAGACCATCCACTCCCCCCAAACAAATATAGCGGCATGTGAGGAATGGGCGTATCGTTGTAGTGTACAGCCTTGACCTGTAAGAAATACAATTCTGGAATAAAATAGTGCATTGACTCACAAGATATAAAACACTCACTATTCAAGAGCATTGTGGAAAAATATACCCTAAAAGTTTGTTTTTTACCTTTTGCTTGCTGCATTTAAAGCAACTCTGTATATATTGGAGCCATTGGGCGCTGCTGTACCTTTAATATATAGGTTTAGCTGCACCTCAAGGCTGCTAGCATTAACGCACTTTAGCTCAATGAATGTCCCTCTGTGTTCTGGTAGAAAAACTGTAAACCAACAGATTGAGAAGACAAGGCTTGTGTCATAACGTCACCCCTAATCGCTATATAGTGGTTAAGCTATTTTAAATGAGTGTTCGAGTGTCTAGTGGGTGGAAAAGGTAGTGAACTCAAAATTTCCTACAATGCACATTAAAAATAGTGATCATCCATGGTCTCTAGATGAGCAGATATGTCCTGGAATGCTTTACAAGACCTCTCCTTTCAAAGCATCATGAGAAGTCGTCAAAGAATAAAGAGTCATTAGGAAAGGCATTTCCAGGGAAGGCTGCTAAATATCTTCTGGAAAAATTAGAGGAGAGCAAAGATACATTTAGACGTGGATTGCATCTCCAAACTCCACTACTGCTGCTGGTTTTCCTGCAATCACAGAAAACTGTTCATAGATCGTACAGGTGGCGCTCTGATGCAGAAATGTGAACTTTATTCCATTTTTTCCCCACCCGAATCCTCAAAATTAAAAATAACAAAAAAATTTGATTTCTTTATTGTGTTTCTATAATTTCATTAATGCAACCAAACCCAATGCATTAATATTGTCATGGAATTTAAACTTAAAGCACCAACTATCATACAGCCAGAGATGGGAAGTAACAAAGTACAAATACTTCGTTAATGTACTCAAGTAGATTTTTCTGATATTTTTACTTTACTTTACTACTTATTTTTATGGCTACTTTTTACTTCTACTCCTTACATTTTTACACAAATATCTGTACTTTCTACTCCTTACATTTTAAAAAATTGTCTCGTTACTTTAGTTTTGAATCATTTCAGTGGAGTTACCGTTATTATTTTTCACGTCATCAATACCAAATTCAATCTAATTGGATGGGAATCTACGTTGCATTTGACGCACCACTACAAGATGAATCGACAGATTCGGTGGTATTCATGGCGGCAAATCATTGCAGCTTGGTGGCGGTGGCGTTAGCATAGTAGCATGGACGACGAGATGATTGAAAATGAACACAACGGAGATCTAGTCCTATTGGCAGACATCCATTTAAAATGTAGGCAACGGCATGAAAAAAGTGGTTTCTACTTTTACTTTTATACTTTAAGTAAATTCACAAGCCTGTACTTTGTTACTTTTACTTGAGTAAAGAAGTTTAATCAGTACTTCCACTTTTACCAGAGTATTTTTTAACACAACTATCTGTACTTTTACTCAAGTACGGAAAGTGAGTACTTTTGCCATCTCTGCATACAGCAGGGCATGATGTGACATTTAACCATGAAGGCTTATTAAATATATAAGCCCAGGTAATCATTTTTTATAGTGGATTAATACACTCACAGCCCGTGTTGCCATACAAGGCCTATAGAAGACTTTTACGTTTTTTGTGGCTCCAGGCAGCTTCGTTTTTTTGGTCCAGTAGGGCTTTTTGAACAGTTTGGGTTGCAGATCTCTACACTAAGGTAGAGTGCTATCCAAACCAAACTGGCCCTTTGTGTAGAAAGTGGATTTTACATGACGTCTCCCTTTGAAACTGCATTCTCTGTGTTTTAGCTATGGTCCAACGCTTTTTGGGACCTCCTGCAGTAAGTTTCGTCGATCAATTGTTTTCAGAAAGGTTGACACATTTTTCAGCATTGGTGGTTTGAGATTTGTGCTTCAATGTGGTTTAAAAGCCTTAGAAAAACTGAGACATGGGGGATTAGATCATTTAACTAACTTCATTCTGTCAGTCAGCTTCTATTAATATTATTTCTGGATTCTCAGAAACTGGGTGTGAATGTTAAGATGAGACTTTTCTTCCAAAAGCTGTGTTTATTTACAGATCATTTATAATGCACAAAGCAGGGCAATCACTATTTTAAGTAGAACCACATTGTTTTAAATAAACATTGTCCCCATCAAAAACAAAAACATTGTTAAAACTATATCCTGTATTCAATGCAGCCATAGTTGTGTGACATTCAAGTCTAACAAAAACAAGAAAAACAAGAAATCTGTTGGTGAAATAACGTTTTTCCATCACAGTGTTCTTACTTACTTTTCCCTCCAGGTTTGAGCCTTTGTCATAAATCCTGGGGGGGTCAACAAATGCCAGCTTGCCAATAATGTAGGAAATGGTTATTTTCTTCATTTGTGATTGTGAAACACCTGAACATAAAAAAAATACCATGTTTCAATGGTCATCTGCCTATTATAGATTTAAAAACGCCGCTATAAAGTCAGCTTTAAGTACATCAACAGGACTCACCTGTTCCCTCCTCCTCAGCAGTGACATGAACTTCAAGTTTGTCCTGCAATATCTTTTGGTCTATTTTGGTGAAACTTGACATTTTAAATTCAGCGATAGCGCAGCCATGTTTGTCTGTCTAAAAAGCCAACAAAAAAGAAAGATATATTGAACAGAAATGATAAAGACTGAGAACTCTCCTTCTTATACTGGGCTCTAAGCTCATTTCTGTCTGACTGTTATTATATAAAAATAATTATATAAAATAGTCTGACTGTTATTAATTATGGTAGTGGACCAAATGCTGGTCGGTAACAGCAGACAGTAACAGCTTAGGTCCTTTGGTCAGAGTTGGTTACCTGGGAATCTGTCACAGCAACAGATATTAAAGAAACTTTCTTTAACAAACATTTGATGTTAAGCAGGATAACGTGCTTGATGTTTCTGTTATCAGATCTGAATAAAAGCTACCATCTCAGGTAAAGCAGAGGAGGTTTCACACCTCCAGGTTCAGGGGCGGAGCTAGATGGAGGACCAGAGGTGGCCATGGCCCCCCTTACCCAATCATTTTCCACCTCTGTGGCCACCCCTACCATTTTTTTCGCCCTCTAATACAGACGGTGGCAGCAGTAAACTTATTAAACATTTAAATTTTTCATATAACAATGACTTGACACCTAAAATGCTGTGGTTAATTATACACATCAAAATACTAACATTTAAGTTTATTAATACCGAATTCATAAAATGTTGTTCTTTTCAGAACTAAATTTTGCTTTATTTGGGGTAAAGAGAAAATGATGTGTCTCTGCAAGTCATCTAGGAGTCTTCAGTGAAATTATACATTAATATCTACTTTAATAATAAATTTGTAAATGTTAATATTAATTTTATGCAGAACAATTTTTGATAAAAGTAGGTAAGTAAAGACAATGGAAAAGAAAATCCAGGTGTGCAGGAAATTTGAATAGAAAATTCTTTACCACATGGAGAGCCATTTATCAAGCTTAAAACTCTCTCTTCTTGGTCAATATTCAACACATTTGAAAGTCAGAAAGGAGAAAGCTGTTGCACATGCAGACATTGTCAACATGACCAAGGTGTGTAACTCTACCTGCTTGTGGATTGTCTCACATGGAGGAAATATTTGTAAGTCTTCAAGAGTTCCGGAAAGCCCTGAGTAATCATAATGACGCCTGGGAAAAGGTCGACAGACCTTGACTGTAACGCTTCCTGGCACAGGCTGTCCGTATGTGTACCTGGTTCATTTAAACAGATCACAGAGTCACCATAGAGAGGAACTGCTGTTCTTCTGGAGATCATTTATGAAAAGCAGCTGTTACTGACCTCAAACATACTTTAGTTTCAAATTCTTCCTGTCCAATGCTGACTTCTTCCTTCACAGTTGTGGTGATATCAAATTTAGGCAAAACTGAGCAGCAAAACATTAAATGTTACCATTAGAAAATAAAGGTAAACATTGTGGTAACATAAAATGTATGTTAATATCCCTGACATACCATACTTCTCCACTTTGAAGGTGTGAGAGTGCTTATCTCCACCCGCTGTCACAGAGATTGTGTAGCTTCCTTCGCGGGCCTCAGAGTTTAGGGGGTAGGAGAGCTGCAGGATTTTGCTGTTAGATGTTTGATTGATCCATTGTCCAATCCTGTTCCTGTAGGAATCCTGTTAACTCAGACAGATGATATTGAGAACAAAGCAGAGATTAACAAACAGGGCCCAGGCTTTGTATATAATCCTGACCCATATATATATATATTTGTATATAATCCTGACCAAGACAACTCTGATTAAAAAGGTTTTATGTTCAAACTAGGGTCTGGAGCACTGTGACATCATGTGATTTAAAAAATGGACAATGTAAGGTGAGATTGGATGTTGGAGGGTTAGACTGATGAGGGAGACCAGAAGCTGACTTCCAGCAAGAGGGATAACTTCTGCCATAAAGAGGTGAATAGAGATCGGTTCTATTCAGTCTGAGGGTAGGGAAGCTCAGGAGACAACAGTTTGCTTAGCATTGGGCCGGCAGGTCCTGCAGATATGAGAGACTTGAAGCAAAATGCAGAGAGGGGCAGTTCTAGTCATGAATCATAGGTTCTGGAAAATACCCTACAGGTATAAAAGTAACACAGAGAAACTTTGAAGGTATTTACAAAGAAAGGCTCTCGGAGAAATGACCCGAATGGACATAGAAACACATTTCAGGGGCTCAGAAAGGGCTAAATATTATCATGCATACTTTCTGATTACAGTCAGAGGCGTTGTATTGGGGGGACGAGTTAGGACGATTCTAAGGGCCCTTTACTGACGGGGGCCCAAAAGAAGAATAAAAGATGTTTCGTGCTATATTTTTCAAATATAAAAAGAAAATCTAGCAGTAAAATAAATAATCTATCATGGTCTTGGTTGTGTTAAGTTTTCTTTTGAGTATTCAGTTTTACTTTGCTCCATGTTTTCTAGTTTTATTGGTAAGTTTTCTGGATATATTTGAGTTCTTAGGCTTGTCTTTGTTGCCCTCTTGTTGGTCTCCTTTTCCCTCGCTCCCTTCTAGAATCCTCTCTTCAAAACCTGCTCCCAATCAGCTCATTAGTCCAGTCTTTGTTCAGTCTCCCATATAAACTCTACCTGTGCAGTTCCTCAGTTCTGGTTCCTCGTCTTTCCCCGGCTCCTCGTGCTCGTTGTTCCTGATGTCTCCATGGTTCTGGTTTGTTTTACATTTCAATTTTGGATTTTTGGATTCCTGCCTCAGTTACTTGTGAATACTTCATTAAAACTACAAGAGCTCACCTCTGCCTCCTTCCCTCTGCATTTTTCAGCAGTAAACAGAGAAACACAGCTGACTATATATGAACACCCCCCCGTCAAATTGCGCTAAATTATTTGGCGCTGTAAATAACACAGAGGCCAAACAAATAAGCCAGAAAATGTACCTTTATCAACCAGACAAGGCAACAGGACAACATTGTCGAAGGTTAAAATCTCCCAAACTCTACTAGATGTTTAGCAGGATATTTACATTAAATAATTGTCTTTGTCCCATAATCATGTAAATAGACGATCCATCAGCAGCCTTGTTTCTTCAACCTTCTTCAACCAAAGCTTAGTTAGATTTCTAGACTGAAGTTGAGGGCCAAATATCAACGTCTTTTATGGGGCCCATGGAAAGACATAAAGCAGGCCCAAGCCATGATGCTGCCACCACCATGTCTGACAGTGGGCATGGTGTGTTCAGGGTGATGAGCTGTGTTGCTTTACGCCAAACATAACATTTTGCAATGTTTCTAAAAACGTCTAATTTGGTTTCAGTGCATTCTATGTGTGCAGCGTACGACTGATTGTTGTTCTATAGACACAGATTCCCATTGGTCTCATACTCCTTTCATTTAAATATTATCTCTGCTTAGTGCTCCGTGGGATGTTTAAAGCTCAGGAAATCTGTTTGGATCCAAATCCAGCTTTAAACTTCTCTACAACAGCATCTGCCTGGTTGTTTCTTATTCTTCATGAAGCTCTCTGTGTTTTAACCCTTTATAGGGAACTCAGTGAAAAACTTTGAAAATCCAAATTTCCAGCCAATGTGTTATTGGAATCCAGGACAAGACCTTTTTACCTTTGCAGCATTAAAAAATATGGATATTTTGATGGCAAAAACTAATGTCAATGTAATGACAAGAAATGGCAACTTGCCCCAATATATTAAGAAAAATAACAAAAGTGCTTCTATAAGAAATTCATGAAAGAAACACATTATTTGGGTCCAGATTAACCTTAGAGGCATTAATGCTGATACTGATACTGGCACTGGCATTTTTTTCTATATAAACCTAAATATAATTGTTAACTGGAGCTTTTTACCATTTTTCTTGACTTAAGTTTTTTCCCCCAATGTAATTTCCAGTAGATAATATATTATTAAAGGGCTCATCTAATTGGTCAAATTTCATAAAAAGGTGTACAACCATGTAGCAGTATCTATGCTGACTGGCTGGATATAGATCTTGTGCTTCTAGACCTCAATGAGGGACAAAAGTTTAAAATTTTGTTCCATTTCATGATTGTGTCCCACTTGTTGTTGATTCTTCACACAGAATTACTATGTTATATCTTTATGTTTTTAACCTAAAAGTGTTGAAAAGTTTGGGGGGGCAAGTATAATTTTGAATGATAAAATTTTTTATGTGACAGTAAGTGGGATGAAATATGGAATACTTTGAACTTTCTGCAAATGCTTTGCAAAAATGTTCACAAATTTCAGACCTTATATAAAGATTGATTTGGTATGCATATAGAGAGAATCAAGTATAGATGTATTGTTCTCAATCATTGATGTGCTTGGTACATTACAATTACCTTACCATCGTTTTTATATGCTATGGTTTTCCTGTGGATTACAAATCCCCAGGTTTAGTGAAACACGTGGACATCGAGTCATCTTTTTAAAATGAGTGTAAAATAGATGTGCATGAGGTAATATATCAAACAATTGAGGTCTTAATAGGAGATCTGTAGCCAAAACCTTTTAAAACACCTTAGTGCAGCAGTCTT